TAATTTATATCTACCATTTTCCAACGCAACCATTTTAAGATCTACAATATCTGCTTTTTTAAACCAGTGTCACCCTCAATTCTTCAACCTTTTCCAAAACTGAACCCCCTCCTACACAGTACCATAATTCTTTAAAGTATCATATCCAAAACTTTTCACTACACTAACAACACAAAATAACTCCAAACCTCAGGGTCAAAGGACAAAGTTGTTGTCTCTCCTTCATACTTCAAGGTACCATCGGTTAATCACTTCCCCCATGGTGGAAAACACAGTCAAAAACGTCGCCCATTATATGCACAACACAGTATCAATATATCTACACGCACAAAACACAGTATGACGAAAAAAAATAATATATTAAAACGCACTCACAAGACTCATATAACTTTAAACATAACATGGGGACACCACCAAAACGCAATGAAGAACGCAGCACAGACAACCATAGGGACCACAATCCAATATTATACTTTCCCAACTATACAAAAGCAGACATAAACCACACAAAACTGGACCTTCCTTCCAGATTAAACCTCCACCCAGTCAACACCTGCTTCAGCGTCGTGCTTCCAAGGACACAAGGTCCCACACTTCACCTCGTGCTTCAACCTTTTCCACACGCACATGCACCGCTAATTCACCCTATCCCACTCGCGCATCCACTCGAACAATAACGTCTTTCTGATTCCTTTCCCAACTCTGACACCACACGAGCCCTAGAATAGAAAAATCCCCAAGTTGATTTTGATTTCTCCCTTCCAGAGATGTTTCAGCAAAAAAACATTAAGTTTTTCCAAATTTGCCCTCTGTTTAATTAATTTCAGCATGGATTATACTATATTTACTTCATTCAAAATTTCTGAGTATTAAAAAATTCCATTCACACACGCCACGTCACGCACTCCTTAACGCCGTTTTCTGAAATTGACGGAAAGGATTTATTTGCATCAAATTAACAAAAATAAGGATTTAATTAAGACTTCAAATATAACATGGACCTATTTCAAATTTGGTACGAAAATAGGAACCTATTGAGACATTAAACCAAAAAAGAATTATCTGGTGAAGAAGAAAAAGGGAGAAATGACACTTGCTTTTCAAATTCGGGGAAAAAGTTGTAAAGAGAGTAAAATTTTGGGAGGGAGCAGTTGAAAAAAAGGGAGAGAAAGATAAAAAATGTAGTATATTATAAACCTCCTAAACTAGAATTGAAACTTTCACAATTATTGGCTTTTAAACAATAGATCAGACTTATCCTAAATTAAGTTGATTTGTGAGGGGTTTTTATAACCTACTTAAAATAATCTCCATTATATATAATTTTTTTGTAATGTCAGTTAATTTTTTTAGTATTATATAAATAAGGTTTAATAGGTTCGGAGGTCCCTATATTTGTGAGTTCGTTTCAATTGGGTCCTCCAATTTTGAAAGTGATCAATTTGATCCCTAATTTAACAAAATTGAGTCAATAATACCCTTTCCGTTAAATGCAATGGACGGCATTAACTTTTTAAACATGTGGTATGTTGAAGCATCCTTCAAATAAAACTGTCCAACCTGCAAATAAAAGGATGCCTCGACATGCCACATGTTTAAAAAGTTAACGCCGTCCATTCCATTTAACGGAAAGGGTATTATTGACTCAATTTTGTTAAATTAGGGACCAAATTGATCACTTTCAAAATTGGAGGACCCAATTGAAACGAACCCACAAATATAGAGACCTCCAAACCTATTAAACCTATAAATAAAAATGTGTCGTATGTTAGTTTATAATTCTTTTATCTTTTTAATAAAAAATATCAATTTGTATAAAAATTTTGTAAAAATTTATTTACAAATTAAATTTTGTTTGAGTTTGGAAAGAAATAAAATTGTTTAATTTTAAAAAAAATTAGAACTAAATTAAAATAAAAAACAAATTAAAAATATAGGAACAAACAAATACTGACAAAAATTTTTATTTAAAAAAAAATAAAAAATAAAATTAAAATAATTAAAAAATATTTAAAAAATTAAAAAAATCACAAACGGACATATTCATTCTCGCGCAATTAACGGAAATAACAACATGATCACTTCAAATTTTCAAAAATAAGAACTAGTTGAAACAAAATAAAACCTATTTAAAAAAATCACCGAAAATAAAAACTATTATAATATTGAATAAAAAATAGTTAATGATGGTGGCTAAGAAATGTATTCTAAATGCTTATAACTGATATTTCGTGAAAAATCAAATAAAAGATGACTAACAATCTTAAAAGACGTTTTACCTTTAATTTTTAATTATACATTTTGAATTTGTTTTTCATTTTAAAATTTGTACAGAAAGACGGTTAAAAAACAAACTTTTTTTTCTTCTTTTTGATAGATGCATTTCTTTTTTGAGTCTATATATATTCTCAGTCAATGTTTTTTTTTTTTTTTAATTATAGCATTGAAGGAATATCTAATTGCTGCAATTTATTGAAAAAATGTAAATGGCTAAAATTATATGCATGCATTTTGTGAATCTATATATTCAATTAAAGCTTTTTCATTATTATAAAAATTAGGAAATCATTTAATTGATGCAATTTTTAAATGGTTGGAAGTATCTATTATTTTTATTTTATATCAATTTAAGAAAATCACTAATAAAAACATACTAAAATAATCTTCATAACATAATTACATTCCCTATTGACAAATCATCATCTAGAGTAAGCAAAATTTGATGAATGATTTAGGGAGGAAATAAAATCATACAACTTAATTTGTTGAAAACTTAAATTCCACAGTTTAAATGTGGATGATCAAAATTGTATAATTAAGTTTTTTCTTTTTAATTTAAAAAATTCAGCCAATGAAAAGAGGCTGTGAGGTAAGCAACATGCGAGGCTGGTTGGTTTATCAAAGCTTCAGAATGAATCTTGCATGAGTTTACTTGGAAAAGGGGTGTTAGAGAGAATTGCAGAGTCTATAGAGGGGAAACTTCTTAACCATCATGATTGTAGTCTTCACGCTTGGGTTCTACCAAATCCTGCCATTTACCGACTCAACGACTTAGGTTTGTTCCTCAGCGAAGAATACTATCATTTCATATACCTTCATCTTAGTTGAAGCACTGGAGTTGAGAATACAGAATAAGAAAAACGAAAAAAAAAGTTGTCTGTGGCAAATAGGTAACTCTGTAGTTTTCTGTGTTTCTACTGTCGAGGTAATTCTGAAACCTTCTCTCGATTCCTCTATATTTTTTTTTCAATTGGTAATTTGAATAATTGCGAGGGTTTTGGAATTTTCGGCTTTGGTTTGGATTTGGGATTAGAGGCAGTGATTTGGTAGATCGGGGTTGGAATTGGCTGTTCTATGTGTTTGAGTTGATTTTGATGGCTTTTCCATGAATCTCTAGGCTGATTTTGTTATTGGAATTTGGAAGTGATTCGGTGATATAAGCGCGGAATTATTTTTGGCTGTGTTGTTTTGTTTATTCGATGTCTTTGACAGCGGTTTATTAGCTGCCATGGACTTGTTCTTTTGATTTCGTGATGTTTTTCCTTGTCTTTTATGATTTTTTATGCTATTAATTTCCATCATCAGGAGCAGAGCCGTTTCAGGAAAAACATGTTGAGTATGCACTCTAGCTTCATGCATGGCTGGGTATGCTCAAGCCTTAAATTCATTTATACAAGTTCGATTTGTTAATTTTGTCGTAAACCTTATGTTTCTCCGATTTGTGAATTTCTTGATGTTTATGTTTTGCTGTTTGCCTACAATTGGTTGAGTGTAATTGAAGTGCTTTTGAGAGGATAAGAATTTAAATTTATGAAATTGATCTTATAATTATTTACCTATACCACCTAGTATGTGAGTATGATGTGTCAACTGATTTTATAGTTATTTAGGTCCAAACCCAAAAAAAGAAATTGTTTATGGAAAAAGACCATGAATGACATGGTGTTTGCAATGAATAATTCAAGAATGAATATGAAGGATGTTCAAAAGACAAATGACTATAACATTGATTATGTTTCTTCTTATGACGAGTGGACTGTGGGGAAAAATGAAACAAGTTCAACTTTGCATGCTTTAGATGAAGACATCTCATTTGAAGTTGGAGAAGATGTTAGTGATGTTATTGTACCTATGGATGATTTGGAGGTTCCCCCAATTGTTAAAAATGAGGAAGGTTGTGGAGGAGATGACATTAATGAAAATGAAGATCGTGTGAAGGAGAATGACTATCCTCCTTTTAATATGAAAAGTCTCCTTGGGTAGCTTGTTTCTATTATTCAATTATGTTTTTTATTAGTTATTATGAATAATTTTATGAATGGTGAACCTATTTGTAGTTGTTTTATGTATTGAATCTTACCACTCAAGACTTATGTATTATTTTTAATCCATGCACAGGTCTACAAGTATATTTTTTCATGTACTCAAAACTCTTAGTTATGATCCTTGAGTTCCGATTTTTTGTCCCCCTTCCTATCCTTGACAACATTGGTATTGTGATGCTGATTGGTCCTTTGACCTATCTAACCCATGGTCTGTATTTGGTGCTACTATGTTTGTAAGATCTAATTTGGTATCTTGGTCATCTTAAAACCATGCAGATTTTGCTCGTTTTCTTTTCTATGTACTCTTTTTACAGAATGGGTGGTATGCTGTTTTTCATTTTATTGCACTCTCTAACTAGCTCTTTTTGTATAACTATTGTCAATGGGTTTTCATTTTAGAAAACAGATCATAAAATTTTCTTTGTATCTTTCTCTTAAATCTAATACAAATTGGAATTAAGCTTAAGGCCTAGCTTAATGACATAACTTATAAGGTGAGAACTTCCTTAGCCTTAGTTATGAATACTACCTAGGCCATGTCTATAGGTCCCATGAAATCATTAGTAGACCTAAGAGTTTCAATTGCAAAGGCTAGGAGGGACTGCATTTAAGGCAACTTTTGAATACCCCTTATGTCCAGTGTTTTAAAAACCCAACCAATAATCAACTCAATCCATATACTGAGTTACTATTCAAACTAGTAAATCACTAGTTGAACCACATGAATTGGTGTAGGTGACTTAGAGAAGATCGTGTATGTATACTATTTTTATCATAATTATACTTAATATTTGTTGTGTTCACGTGATAAGATGGAGGAGTGCTTGAAATGCCTTTGGTACTGTTCTAGTTGAGCGGCGATTTTACATTTCCAGTCACAGCATACACTTCCGTTTTAATCAGCATGCAGCCTACAGATTTCATTTATTTCTATTTGCATTTACTGGACTGTGTGTATCAACTTCTCTTGGACCACATAATGGCCAGTAGCTCCCTGGGCCATGTGGGTCAGCTTGCTCATGGACCACATAAAAAGAATGGTCACTTGGAACTTGTTACCTGATTTAAAGCTGGTTTTACGAGTGGCTCTAAATATATGAGAAAAAGTTCTTGTAAAATTGAAGTAATTACGCCTAGAAGGAATAGGCAATGGACAATGGCATTAGCCTGTTCATTGAGTTTATTTGTATTAAAAGTCTTCCAAGTCAACAGACTGTCTTTTGGATGTTGTTGATTGCTCTTTTAACAACATTTTATTAGTTCAATGCTGTATGAGATAGTACTTTTTGCGATAGTTTACCTGTGCAAGTATGATATTACTTTGTTTTGTTCTGCAGGGAATGCTTTTATTGATTTACAGCTTATTCTTTATTTTGCTAACATATTGAATGATCCTATATATTAGTTAAACATTCTAAAATGTTTTAAATATCCAGGGAGTACCAAAGATTCTTGATATCATGGTCTTCAGCATTGCCACCACAGTTTCTTTGAAGCTGCTCAGGGTCTAGGCTTCTATTCCACTAATGCACCTAAGACTTTACTTAGGTTTGTAGATAATTTTCTAGCAGACAGAAATGGACGTGAAAACAGCAAAGGCAGTGGATAGAATTGCTCTCAATTTTAAGAGAAAGCAACCTACCCAGTATGCTGCACATGAATGTGGAGCTTTGCAGCCTTCAGGCAGGGTTGTAAAACAGATAAAATTGGGTGAATATAGAAAAAAACATGCAAATGCTGGTCCTCATATTGGGAAGTCCTTGAGTAACCGGTTTTTAAGCTATAAAAAAAGTGGGAAACCAGCTCGTCTGATGTTCTATAAGAATGGTGAGTGGGTGGACTTTCCAAGTGATATTCTTGACTTGGTTAAGAAAGATCTTGAAATCAAGAAGTCGGTTGTGGAGGTGGAGTTAAATGGGTATCATATGGTGTTAAATTTTTTCCATATGTATAAGTTGAACATGAAAACTGGTTTGCAACAACCAATGGCTTGGATTGATGAGGCAGGAGGCTGCTTTTTTCCTGAGGTCTATGCTACTTATGATGAAGAGCCTTATAATCTCTGGAAACAGGGCACTGGAAGAAGTACAGAGTCATATGATTCTAATGAAATAAAATTACAATTAGAAATTGAAATAAATGGACTGGATCAGTGGAAGTTGAGGGAGTGTTCTGACGAGTCCAATTCATTATTTAACGGTATTAGAATTGATACTAAACAAAAGAGCTGTCCATATGATGTAGAAGTAGAAAATAGCATTAACAAAGAGGACTGTGAAAATGTTGACAAATCTATACAGCAAAATCAAGACATAGATTTAAATGCCTATACTGAATCTGTATATGGAAGGTTGAATTTCGATTCTGTACAGAAGATATTTCTTAAGGGAATGAACAATAATGGCATTACTGATTCCGACATTGTTGGAATTGATCGGTGCTCAGGTGCGTCAATGCAAGCACGATTGGAGCTATTCTTGAAGCAAGCTGAAATTACACAAAAATGTCATGGGGATGCTAATGTTCAGTATGCTTGGCTTGCTTCTACTAAACGAGAACTGTATACAATGATGGAGTATGGGCTTGGCCACTGTAGACTATCTGCATTTAAAGGTTCATATGGCACTGGTGTTCATCTTGCAGCCGTTACCTGCCCTGACACCAGGTTAATTTTGGTATCTTCATCTTCAACAAATTTAATCATTCAAATACTTCTTCTTGTAGTCTTGATGAACATATATGTAGCTTATCTTCTATCTTGGTAAAAGTAAGATGAATGGTGGTATTCGAGCTTCTCCTGATTTCTAGATTTAGCTGCAAAGTTGATTGTATTTGTTCTAATGCAATTGGTCACTAAAATCTATCTAAATTATAGCATGAGTCATAGTCTCCACTACTGCAATTTTATCTTAGAAATTTCTATGCTGGTATTTTTTCTCCTCGTCAATCTTACTTTTATTCTTGACTCCATCCATGTGTTCTTTCTCTGCATTGTTCTTTCTCTGTACTCTATGCCAATGAAGAAGTGTCTATTATGTGGTAGGATACTGGTTATAAAGTGTTCTATGCATAACTGCTGGAATATTCTTTAACCAGTTTTTGCTGCAGTACTTTTAGTTTCTGTATGGAGTTGTGAGCATATTTTCTTCCTGGTTTTGTTCTTTTCCTAATTATTATAATTCAACTGTGAAGGTTTTTTTGTTGAGATTGTTTTATTATATGTATTATTACACACAAAGTACTTTCTTTCCATATTTACTTTTAGCATATTATTATGTTTATTTCACACTTTATTGTGCCTACCATTATGTATTTTATCTATATCATTCTTTTGGAATATTTAGTGAATGATTAAATTTTTCTGTATGTACAGTGCACGTTATTGTGATGTTGACGAAAATGGGGTTCGACATTTGGTCCTTTGTCGTGTAATAATGGGGAACATGGAGATTCTCCATCCTGGCACTGGTCAGTTCCAACCCAGTAGCTGTGAATATGATAATGGGGTGGATGACATTCAATGTCCGAGATATTATGTGGTGTGGAATATGAACATGAACACCCACATCTATCCAGAATTTGTTGTTAGCTTCAAGCTGTCTTTTGATGCCGAAGGTGATGCATTGTTTCTTTAATTTTCCCTGTTACTAAATTTTTGCTTTCCTGCTACCAATAAGTTGTGCATTTCAATATTATGTACTTAGTACTCAATGAGTAGAAGAAAAGGCAAACGAGTTGGTATACGTGGTTTTTTCTTTCCTTTAGGTTGAAAAAATTCTATAAGATGTTAGTATTAGGAAACATTGTTTCATCCATAGATTGTTGATATCTCCTCGTGGGTGCTTTCTGATGCAAGGTTGGGTGACTGCTATTCCTTTCTTAATTTTTTGTCTTGATCAATAATACGTTATGCATTTTTACAGGTCTTTTTGGTGGAAGCGAAAGGAAGAATAATGTTTCCGGGGTTATGACTGCCTGCCATGGTCCTCAAGGACTGTTGCATTCTTGTGCAGTAGTTAAGGTATGTTACTTGATATTTGATTTGTGGACTGATTCTTTCCCGGGCTTTCTATGTTAATACCTATTCTATAACTGTTGTTTACTTGCAAGTGTTATCTTTGTTTCTTTTTACCGTTTTTGCCTTGTATTTTCAATTTATTATTTGAATGTACATTGTCTGTTTTAATGGGAATACAACTCAGAAGGAGTTGGAAGTTTCATGAAGGTTTGACTATTAAGTTAGTCTGATGTGGTCTGAGTTATTGGTGGAATGACAAGTTAGAGTTTTGGGGAGGAAAAACAATATTTTGCGTGACAAACAGATTAGGGTATGGTTTACTTTCCCAAGAATCACATGGTAATTTAGATTGACGGTGATTGGGATATTACGGTAGCTTAATGACATATTTTTATGTTTTAATGTCTGAATGGTAGTCTGTTTTCTCCCCCTTAAGGAATTCAGTCATTATTGTTTTAATATCTCATTTTGTTTCTTCTAGTGTATTCTTGTGTACCTTTTTTGTTTTTGTTTTAGGTCCTGTTTGGTAGATAAGAGAGAAATGGAGTGAATTGAAATAAAAATAAGTGAAAACAGGGTTAGAAATAAAGTGGAAGTTAAATATATTTAGTTGAAGATAAATAGAGAAGAAATTAGAAGAGAGAGAAGAGTGGAAATAGATAAGAAATCAAGTAGAAATGTACTGATGGTACCCACTTATTTTTAGTTATTTCTTCTCTATCAGGCGGTCTTAATTAAATTCATTAATGTTTTTGGTTCAGTGCTAAATGTACAGTTACCAGGAAAACTAGTTTTACTTTTCGGTTTACAGTTACAACCAAACACTTTTTGAGATTTGTCTTTAAGTGAATATTGTTAGCATATTGCCCATGTATATTAAGATCATTATAGGAACAATTTTGGATTTGTGGGGTATATGTCCAGGGAACAGCTCCCCCAAGAGGTCCAACATCGCCTTGGATGTCTTTTCCTTTGCTTTTTGCTGCTATCGGAAACAAGGTTCCTCCTAATGATATGGAACGTGTCAGAGAACATTATGAACAGTTCAGGGTATGTAAAGTAGCTCGACTTGTTGCCCACGCCTTTATTGATGAAATATCCTAATATATCGTGCCGTTCTTGTTCAGTCAAAGCAGATATCCCGGGATGATTTTGTGAAGATACTGAGGTTAATAGTTGGAGATGCTCCATTGAAACTTGCAATGACACAACATCAATTTAAGGTATGAATTTTGAAATCACAGGCTACTGTCTTCTGCTATGTGGTCATACCTCCTAAATGATGTTTAACTGGCTGCATGCAGATACCATCCAATGTTAAGGAAGGATAAGGCTTTAATATTAGTAAGCATGAGGAGATGGATATTTCTGCTCTTGGAGGCAAATATTTTAAATTTTTTGCTGGACAAGTCAATTATTAGCTCCTAGACATTCTTTTGTCATTTTGGACCTTGAAAGTAGTTGATGCTGGAACGTCTACATTAGTTTACTTGAAATCATCTGTTTTCAGATACATTGTCAACCCACCTATTTGCTACCTTATGTGATTTTTTTAATAATAAACATCATTCATTAAATATTTCCTGTTGCCTTTTTCACTACCACTTCTCATCCGTATTTTGGATTTGTTCATCGTATCATAGAAAATAAGTTTAGAAATACTCGGTACATAGAAGAAGACCCCAATTTCTTAAAAGATTGGCCAAGCTTAATCATTTCTTAAGGGACATGATTATTTGAAGAGATAATCAAAATTAATAGGTACAATTATAATTAAAATAATTTATAATTAGTTACCAGGGTTCATTGACCTTCGATCTATTAAAACTAGTATTTAATAAGAAAAAGAAAAAGAAAAAGAAAAAAGTCTTGGCGATTTGTTTGTGAATAATAGTCATTTATTAATTTGAGTGTTAGCGGGTTTATCTGGTACTCCACGAAACTTCATCAATAAATAATCAGAACAGAAACATTGAGGATATTAAGGAGTGATCAATCCTCTACCCATATGCAGGTACAGTGTTTGGTTTGAAGTGGGTGTTGGCAGCCAGAAATTGGGTTGTTGTTAAAATTTAAAGTAAGTCATTTTTATGAAATAAATAAATTTTAGAAAACTTAGTTAAGATCAAATCTGTTTATTAAAAAAATAAAGTGTGTAATTTAAAATTAATTAAATTAGGCAATTGCATGGAAAGGATAAATCTATTTGTTTTTTGTCAGAAAATAATTCTTTCAAAATATAGACAGAAATAATTAAGTCCATTACTTCAGTTTAATTTCTAAGACATTCGATAAATTTGACTATTTGTAATCAAACATCTCATCTAAAGCATAAATTAAGTGTGATAACTAAAATTAGCGGAAAAACAGGTACATTTGACTCTGTGTCGAATATTTTTTATGTTAAAATAATATATATTTTATTAAAATAAGAATAGATGAATTATGCGATTATTTTTTAGTGAAGAAATTATGATACTACGTTTGATTAAATATCATTACGTATTTTATAAAATAATAAAAGTAAAATCGTATTTACTAACTCAAATTTTTATATTTTTCTTGTATTATATGTGTCATTTATGAGAAAATTCTTATTAAAAAAACAAGGTTATTTGTATTATGACTCGTCTCTCTTCTATGAAAGTTTATTTATTGAACTTTTAATAATATTTTGTTCTAAAAAATTCTATGCACCATAATAAGAATTATAAGTGGTTTCAATATTAACTTATACCATCATTCATTACAAACTTCATAAAAGTTATCCTCACACTTTCTCATAGAAAAAGGAGAATTAATCACTACTAAAGCTTGACAAGACAACACTTTGATAAAGAGGACAACGAAGAAAACCTTTATGTTGATTTGGATCTTATTCACGAAATTGAAAAACAAGCACGTGCAAAAGAAGCTATGGTAATACAGAGAGTTGCACGTTAGTACAACAGTTGAATAAAAGAACTATAAATTTGACAATGGAGAAAGAAAGATCCCTCCAAAAAGAATAGCCCAAAATGCAATTGTCAAACTTTGTCCTAATAGCTTGATCACACTTCAAGAAGTAATAATCTTGATCTCTTGATCTCCAAAATGTTCGAATCATCAAGTAGATCGCAGGAAGAGTCTCGGAGGTCGAAAAGAGATTACACTCCACCTCACCAAGATGAAAGGGTGGCTGAGTCTCATGCCTCTACAAAGAAACTTGATGTTTCAATACTCAAGTACAAGAATAATTCAACGAGTACAAGAGTAATTTGGTGTTCTAGTGTCCGAATACAAAAGTAAACTCGACACTCACGTGATAGAGTACATAAGAAACTTTGCATTCCATGTACCCAAGTACAAGAGAACCTCGACATTCCAATGATCGAGTAGAGAAGTAGTTCGGTGTTTCAACACCCAAATACAAGAGCAAGACAACTCAGCATTCCAATACTCAAATACAGGAAGAATTCAGTGAGTATAAGAACAACTCAACATTCTAGTATTCGAATATAGGAGTAAACATAGTGTTCCCTTGATCAAGTACGGAGAAACTTGGAAATCCAACTACCGAGTATAATAGCAACTCGACATTACCATGTTCGAGTACAACATTAACTCGACATTCCAATATAGAAGTAACTCAGTGTTTCAATGATTGAGTAAGGAGCAAGTCGGCGTTCCAATGTCCGAGTACAGGTGTAAATTGGTGTTCCATTAGCCAAGTACATGAAGAAATAATAACCTGGAGTTACAACACAAGAATTCAAGAAAGAACGGTGCAAAAGGTAGGCCTAGTTTGGAGAAAGACTGATTATGTCCAAAACTTTAAGTAGAAAGAAAGTTTATACCCAACTGAGATGAACCATATTGCATTACATACTACATCTAGAATGTACAAGTTATAAAAACTAAAAAAAAACTTATCGTGAGAACGTAGAATGCGACCTACTTAAAGATGTATTATGACTAAGGACTTTACTTGACCAACACAAAACCCCTAAAAGAAAATGCTAAGAGGTAACACAAGTTAAGTCCGCAAATGCGACAGTCGAGTTATCTAAACAATAACATAAAGCCCACAAAAATGACACAATAAGCTCACAAATGCGGCATCCAAGTTACCTAGGCGGTAACATAAAGCCCACAAATATGGCACTAAAAGCCCTCAAATGGAGGCACTAAACTACTTAGAGGATAACACAAATAAATCCCTCAAACAAGGCACCAAATTACCTAAATGATAACCTAAATAAAGCCCTGAAAATGAGACACCGAGGTACTTAAACAATAACTTAAATAATGCCCTAAACAAGGCAACATGTTACCTAAATGGTAAGATAAGTAAAGTCTTCAAACGTGACACCGAGTTACTATAAATCAAATAAAACCCTCAAACAAAGCATTGAGTTACCTAAACTGTAACATAAAGCTCACAAACGTGGGACCATAAGCCCATAAACACAACATTTGAGTTACCTAGACGGTAACCTAAAGCCCACAAATGTTGCACCATAAGCCCGCAAATGCGACACCCGAGTTATCTAGATGATAACATAAGCCCACAATGTGGCACCCAAGATACCTAGACAGTGAAACAGTCATATGATTTCTCAACTAATTAAGACGTTTTGAAAAACAATTGAGGATTTTGAATGCAAACACAAGAAAATAAATATGAATTCACTTTTTGATCAATTGAAGAAAAACACAAAAGTGAATGAATGATATTGAATTTATGAGATGAATATGTTGTTGGGGGTTTAGATTTCACCTAGTTTACTCTCATGTATATAAGAATTCATCTTCTTCATGCAATTGTTAACATCACTTTCTAAATTACTTAAAACTCGATCCCTCAGCGAAGAAAGCCTATCCTTAATTACTAGACCTCAATCTCTTGCATCCCTAATAATTAATTCTGCATTACGATTATAAGCTTAAGATGACCAAAACTCATACCCCTATCCCTGAGCAATACTGCTTTTGGGAGAAATTCTCCAGATCGTGGTTTATAGGTACTTCCAATAACAAAGAGAACCATAAAATCATGTCATGAGTGATCAAAACATAACAAGCAAAGAGCAAAGGAGAAAATCCCTAACAATTGATGAAAGAATCATATATAATTAAAACAAATTCAAATACATGAGAGTTCACAAGGTTACATCATCCCCAACAACAAATTGAATTTAGTTCCCCCTTGTCATGGGGAAACTAGATGAACAATGAAATGAAAGAGATAGAAAAACCCTGGAAATTGAAGAAGAGAGTTCCCACATCCCCAAATCTGCCTCAAAGGGGTGAAAAGTGTGTTTCTATGCTCTAGCCATCAAGAGATACAATCCCTAGGACGTCCAAGTCCTTAAATAGATCAAAAAAATAATAGAAAACGGGTCCAAGTCCACGTCGCTGGCGCTCAACGCCCTAAGTGGGGCGCCCAGGCGCCCTGGGTACAAAGCTGGCGCTCAGGCGCCCAGAATGGGGCGCCCAAGCGCCCTACGTGACCTCATGTGCTCCTTTTTTGTTGTTTTAACTGTCCGTCTTGAATTCCAAGCCCTTGATACTTTTGCTCTTCTTCCAAATCATACTAATAACCTACAAAATCAAGGGAAATTAGTGATAAAATCATCAAGTATACCCTCTACTCACTTATTCGAAAAATTAAAGCAAAAACATGAGTTCAAGCAAGTTTCTAAGTCAAAAAGGGTGCGTTTAGTATCAAAATTATATCACAGATAATGGTATATTTAACCGTTATCACCTGCAAATGCGACACCCGAGTTATCTAGATGATAACATAAGCTCACAATGTGGCACCCAAGATACCTAGACAGTGACATAAGTTAAGCTCGCAAACGCGACACCTGTGTTATCTAAACTATAACATAAGCCCACAAACGTGGCACCTGAGTTACTTAGATGGTAATATAAATTAAGCCTTCAAACGAGACACTGACTTACTTAGACAATAACTCAAATAAAACCCTCAAACGAGGCACTAAGTTACCAAGACGGTAACATAAGTACAATCTTTAAACGAGACACTAAGTTACTTAGACAATAACCCTTAAACAAGACACTAAGTTACCTAGATGGTAACATAATATCCACAAACATGGAACCATAAGCCCAAAAACACTACATTTGAGTTACATAGACGGTAACATAAAGCCCTTAAACGTTACACCATAAGCCTACAAATGTGACACTTTAGTTAAGCCCGTAAACGTGGCACACGAGTTACCTAGACAGTGAAATAAGTTAAGCCTACAAATGGAATACCAAATTACCTAAACGACAAGTTATCTAGACAATAACATAAGTAAAACTCGCATACGCGACACCAAGTTACCCAAACTTTAACATAAGTTAAACGCAACACCCAAATTATTTAGACAAAAACAAAAGTATGCAAAAGCGACACTTGAGTTACCAAAAAAAACCCACAAACATAACACCCTAAGTTACCTACATGGTAACATAAACCCACAAATGTGACACTTGATTTACCTAGACGGTAACACAAGTTAATCCCTCAAATGCGGCACCCGAGTTACCTAGACAATAACACAAGTTAAGCTCGCAAAT